GATAACCACATTCTACACATTTTGAAAAAAAAAATTAAATAAACACAAATAATTCATATCAAATGTAAATTATTTTAAATAAATGTAAACTGCATCATATGCGAATATATTATTATATTTCACTATTCAAAATGTGGAAAACATGCTTATTCTTCAATCAGACACATGAACATGTTTCAAAATATCTTACAGCTGCTTGTGGGGCTTTAAATGTCACTAAACACAATTAAACACTGGAAAATATCATCATTTACTTCTAAAGTCTCCTCATACTTTACTGATGACTCTACACCAAATCTGGCCAATCACATGCTCTCCACAGAAAGTCCCTCCCCCAACAAACACGCGACAGAGCAGCAGCACAACAAACACACTTTCTGGACTCTCTACTGGAAATATGAGCTCATAAATACCTTTCCTGGAGCTGTGAATCCGCCTGGATGTGGAGGAGCGTGTGGAGGAGCGTCAGCTGTTGAGCGCAGCTCAAAGATCTGCAGCAGAAACACAACAGACACACGTGTGTATCTTCACTGCTGCAGAGGAGAGAGAGAGAGCAATGACTGAACACAAACACTACAACAACATCACTACAAACTAAACCAACGAAGCAAAGTCCCTTACAGGTGAGTCGCGTTACTCTCCATTTCTGCACTTGGTGTGGCTTTTCTTCGCTGTCGGGCTGTAATATCTGCTGTTGACTGACATTATGAGTCTGTCACTGAGCTGTCATCTGCTGGAGCTCAACTTGACGCCAGTAAAACGGTGTACCTGTGCTTATCTAGTGTTGCTGTTGTCAAAGGTGTTCAGGCTAAAAGAGCAGCTCGCTGATTCCGCCTAGTGGAGCGAATGGGATCTGCGCTTTAAAGCGCACCCCTAACCCCACCCCTCACAATGACGTAACTAGCTCCATTGAGTGCAGCGTCTGACATTGTAAGTCTGATATATGCAGTCTCAGTTTGCAAATCCAAGTCTGCATGCAGATACTATTGGAGAAAGACTGACCAAATATGCCTCTTGCAGAATTCACAAGATTTTTTACATCCACTCATTGCGTTTTCATTCAGCAACAGAAGTACTCATAATTTAAAACTTATTGAACGGCTTAATACAATATAGGATTAAAAATAAAGCAGCCAGTCATCTTTATAAGGCATTTAGTGAAGGAAATGTGTTCGTATTTTTGTTGGTAAAATTATCATTTGTGTCTGCGTCAATTAAATCTGTAAGCAATGAAGACATTCTGCATCCCCAATATAAGAGCTCGTCAAACAAGTTCTATGTGTCTTTATTGATGAGTGGCGCATTAATTACCTACAGGCTAATATTCAGGTTTCACATTACATTCGTATTGGTTTGATATTTCCACATTGTTAATCAAGCATTTGTGCTGAAGTTCAATATAAAGTGAGCACAAATAATGACCCATGAATGATTAGATGATTGAGTATATGCTTTAATAATTATTTTGACATTGTTAGGAGGGAAATGAACAGTTGAGACCAAAACGACTGCTGTGTCAGATCAAGAGAAGACTCTGAGCCGCAGATTCAATGAAATTAAAATAATTTACTGGAGATAGTTTGTGGTTCTGCGGCAGGAGGGCTTCACACTGGCATTGAGTTCGCTGGTGGATCTCCCTGCCTTACAGTAAGACAGAAAATCTCTCCTGCATACAAAGAAAATTACTTTACAGAGAATTTAAACATAAAATAGAAAAACTCAGGAATCAGTTGTTTTAATCCACCAGGAATCCAGTTCCCCTCGAGAGCTCTCCATGACCTCTGACCTGGCTTGGTAGATGGGCCATTCTTCAACTACGGGCACTTTTAGCCTTGTGAAGTTGAGTAAAAAAAACTTGTTCAAAATTAACGTAACATAGCCTCATAAGTTTAAACACTTTGTCTAGTTTGAAGATCTGTAAGAGGACAAACTCAGATAAGAAGAGAAACATTTTCTCCATCGTGAACTGAACAAATGTCAATTCCAGCACATCTCAATATACTGCTTATATTTCTAAATGACATAAATGATGGCAGTCAAACATTGTCTAACATCATTTTTGTTTCTAGTTTAACCAAATATTTCCACAATATCGATAATAATTATACATTTGTCAGTGAAATAAATTAGTTGTGTGCTGAATTGTACACCTGTCACACTCTAAAACTTAATATTAATTTGGTTAAGAGCTTATTAGAAAATAAATAAACTGAATTTGTAAATTAAATAGAGCGTGAACTCATACATTGTGAAAACACTTTATTGTGTGATGAGAACCTTTTAAATGTTTTTAATAATGTGTGTGGTGATGGAAATGACATTTCAACAGTTTATTGTGAAAATAATGAAAAATAGCTTCACCGATTAACTTTGAATTGATACAAGCCTTTCATATATACAAAACACTCTTATTTACCCTCATTTTGTTTTGGTTTTACATTTTTAAGTAGGTTTTATTGTTAGTTTGACAAAGAAAGAAGAATTTGAACAAAATTATATATATGTTTGGATATTTGATCAAAGGACATAAAAGTGCTCGTAGTTGAAGAATTACCCAGATCCTGAAAATAGAGATTTGACAGACACAGACGCTTCAGCTGAACACATCACTACATTAGGTCATGTTTAACTTCAGTCACTGATCAAAATCATGTCAAAGATTAAAAAATGATTAGAATAATCATAATAATAAAGTCAACAAGAACAGATTTTGATCCTTCCTGAAACAGATGAAGACAGAAAACGACTCGCTTCAACAGGAAGCAGAACTGTGCTCACGATGACCTCAGTTTACTCAAGCCTCTCTGTCATTTGAAGATCTCCATAAAAACTGTGTGATATTTAGCATTTGATGATAAGACTCTATTTAATAATAATTACTTTTTAGTTTAAACCTCAAGACTTTCTGCTTCCTTTTACACAATAAAATGTTTCTGGTTGTCAGCATCAGTGGAGGAAAATACACATAACTACAGCTGCGCCACAGGAAGGTGAAATCTCAGTGCTTTACATTTGCTGTGCTGAAGTTCAGAAAAAACATCAGCACAATCTTTCAAATCAACTGAACTGCAAAGGTGTAATTCAGAAATATCTCCACAGGAGGGCGACATGTTTAAATTCACACTATTAGATATGCACTGGTGTCATTCACCAAAATCACCACACGAGGGCGAACATTTTAAATTCATCAAGTTCGCAGTGGTGTAATTCAGAAATATCTCCACAGGAGGGAGAAACCTTTATTATTTTAGAGCGGCAGCAGTGCAGTCCACAAAAATCCCCACAAGAGGGCGAATATTTTAAATTCAGTAGATTCAAGATTTGCAAAAGTGTAGTTCAGAGAAATCTCCACAGGAGGGCGCAATACTTGATACATATGTAATATTTGTCTATTTGTCTATTGTTAGATCAGATATTCAGTGTGTGTAATAATGTGTTGATTTGTGTGTCGACTCTACAGGATCAGTGAAGTGTTGTGGACTGTAAGTCTGTTGAACAGAAGCAGAGACGAGTGGACAGACACTGACTGTACTGATGATGATCATCTGCTGCTGCACAGGTGATGTAGATCATGTGTGTGATTGGTTGTGTGTGTGTCTGTTCCACATGTCGGTTACCATCATTTGCTTTGTGGAGGGTCACTCCTCTACAAAGTAAATGATGGTAACCGAAACGGGTGGGGAAGGGACGAAGGTCCAGAATTTTTATACAGTTCATTTTAAATTTTTTGCAGGGCTGTAAAGTATAACCCCTGCTGGACACGGCTCCGGAAGCTCCAGGGGGAGACCGAACTGGTATCCCCCCTTCTTCAGGCGCGCCTCACACTCACTCACCATTCACTCATATCGCAGAGTTCTGGCTGGCCTTGAACCAGCAACCCCTGAAGCCATGGGGCAGTGCTCTTACCACATAGCCACAGATCTCCATGTCTGAACACTTGCTGGAACTGATGTTGGACTGCTGACCTGTGTGTGAGCTGATTCAATAAAACAAGATATATGTCAGATCTGAACCCTTGTCTTTATGAGTCTCTTCCTCAGAGAACTTGTGTTTATTCACTCATCAACCATCATTAGTTTCACATCAGCGTCCATCATCTTGGTGAACATAATGAACTCAGTGGGACATTAGCCATGGTGAGGTTTGAACCCGGGTCTCCTAGATTTAAGCTTATTACTTTAAGACCTGAGCCACTGAGTCTGGACAGTGAAGGAGAGGTCAGATTGGGGCTTTATCACTATTCTCAGAACGACCAGGGTTTGACACATGTTTCTTTGTAATTTGGGCCATGAAAAACCTTTTGCCAAATGTCAAACCCTGTGGCTTAAAGGATGAGCGTTCGCCTGCTATTTAGAAGTGTGAAGGATCGAATCTCATTTCTGCCAGATCGAGATACAAGTCAGATTTGAACTCTTGTCTTTATGAGTCTCTTCCTCAGAGAGCTTGTGTTTATTCACCCATCATGGGTTTCGTTCCATCATCAGGGGCTCCTGGTCAGTATAATGAGTTCAAGATGGACATTAGCCATAGTGAGGTTTGAACCCGGGTCTCCTTGTTTAAAGATCAATAGTTTATGACTTGAGCCACTGAGTCTAGATGGTAAACAATGTTTCTGAATGAGGCTTTATCACTGTTTCCACCGTGACCAAGGTTTGACAAATTTCTTAGTAATTTGACTCACAAAACAACCATTGCAAAAAGTCGAGCCCCATGGCTCAGCGGATGTGCATTAGACTGCCATACAGGAGACATGGGTTCTAACCCAACTATTGCTTACTTTACTGTCACTTGCTGGGATTCAGTCAGACAAAGAGGCCCAAGGAGCATGAAAGCCATGATGGGCTAGTGGATGAACATATGGTTGCGGTGGACATGGTTACGGCAGAGGCCTGGGTACGAAACCCACCTCGATGTGTGGCTCACACCAACGAAAGTACAAATAGCAAGGAAATTTCGAGGCGGGGGAACACAAACATAACAATACTTTGTTGTTTTTCTGATTATCTCAGCAGTAAAAAGCTGCAGCAGTTCTTGGATTTGAACCCAGGTGTGCTGTGACAGCTTCAGATGTCCTGCTGTGTGCTCTGACCACTACACCATCACCACACACATAAACCCACATTTCTTTCTCCAATGGGAGGATAACCACATTCTACACATTTTGAAAAAAAAAATTAAATAAACACAAATAATTCATATCAAATGTAAATTATTTTAAATAAATGTAAACTGCATCATATGCGAATATATTATTATATTTCACTATTCAAAATGTGGAAAACATGCTTATTCTTCAATCAGACACATGAACATGTTTCAAATTATCTTACAGCTGCTTGTGGGGCTTTAAATGTCACTAAACACAATTAAACACTGGAAAATATCATCATTTACTTCTAAAGTCTCCTCATACTGTACTGATGACTCTACACCAAATCTGGCCAATCACATGCTCTCCACAGAAAGTCCCTCCCCCAACAAACACGCGACAGAGCAGCAGCACAACAAACACACTTTCTGGACTCTCTACTGGAAATATGAGCTCATAAATACCTTTCCTGGAGCTGTGAATCCGCCTGGATGTGGAGGAGCGTGTGGAGGAGCGTCAGCTGTTGAGCGCAGCTCAAAGATCTGCAGCAGAAACACAACAGACACACGTGTGTATCTTCACTGCTGCAGAGGAGAGAGAGAGAGAGAGCAATGACTGAACACAAACACTACAACAACATCACTACAAACTAAACCAACGAAGCAAAGTCCCTTACAGGTGAGTCTCGTTACTCTCCATTTCTGCACTTGGTGTGGCTTTTCTTCACTGTCGGGCTGTAATATCTGCTGTTGACTGACATTATGAGTCTGTCACTGAGCTGTCATCTGCTGGAGCTCAACTTGACGCCAGTAAAACGGTGTACCTGTGCTGATCTGGTGTCGCTGTTGTCAAAGGTGTTCAGACTAAAAGAGCAGCTCGCTGAATAAATAAATACTATTTAAATCAGGATCGGCAGAGAGGCAGGAATTAAACTCAGATCATCGAGAGCACAGTTTTGCTACATGTCTGTCTGTTTAACTAATTTTTAATGTTTAAAGCATATACTCAAACATCTAATCATTCATAAGTGATTAATTTTCTCACTTTATTTAGAGTTTCAGGGCATATTTTTGATTGACAGTGTAGAAATATCAAATAATTATCATTAAAATACGAAACAATTTTCAAAAAACTATTGATTTCAGGCTCAACATAAAAAATATTGTTGAATAAAATGTAAAACATAAACAAACTGATCAGTGAATGTCCGCTTGAACTGAGAAAATGTGACTTTAAACAGAGAGCAGCTGAAGCTGTATTGATTTGTTTTACTGTCTTTACTGCAGATGAAGTTGGTATGTGCTTGTCAAATAAACATTTCAGACGTTTCTATGTATGCTGCACAATTTTTATGTCAAATTTAAGAATTTGAGTCCTGAAGAATAAATAAATCAGTGGAGATGTCCAATAGCAGAGATTCACTGTGTTTGTTTACAGTCTACTGTGGACATCAGCTGATTCACAAACACATTCATATTATCCACATTCAGTGCACTGCTGAGTCCTCTGCCATTTTGATCTATATAAGAGTATTTTGTAGTCTGCTGAGTATAAGTGTGTACATACTACAAAATGCACATTTAAAAATAGTCAATCACTCGGCTATTACTGTAATCTTTCTGAAGTGAAAGAACTGCAAAACACTTTATTAAACACCAACAGTTGAAGCAGAGGTTGATATTAATTCTGCCTGTTTTATATCAGAGCTTCAAAATACAACAGAATAAATCTCCGCCGGTCTCTTTTGTTAAGTTTAATTATAATGTAGCCTAAATTTATCCATAACACAATAATGCAGGCCGCAAGTCAGATCACAGCTTACTCAAATTCATAAATATGGTTGATATGAACCTTCTGACTCTAGTCATATTTTATAGGAAAATAATGAGCATATTAAACTGTTTCTGGAGGTTTACCTAAACAAATCACAAACCTACTAAATATCAGAGAACAATTGAGCTTATTGAATCAATGCAGAATATGCAGCACCTCAGAATCATTCGATTTGCAAAGGTGTAATTCAGAAATATCTTTACACAAGCGTGAAACGTTTAACTTCATTATTTTATAACAGCAGCAGTGCAGTTTACAAACATCAGCACAAGAGTAATATATATTATAATATTTTAAACTCATAAGATTTGTTATGGTGTACTTCTGAGAAATCTCTAAACGAGGGCAATAAAATGTTGGTTGTCAGCAATAGAGGAGGAAAATACACATAACGACAGCTGCGCCACAGGAAGGTGAAATCTCAGTGCTTTACATTTGCTGTGCTAAAATTCAGAAAAAACATCAGCACAATCTTTCAAATCAATAAATCTGGAAATGTGTAATTCAGAAATATCTCCACAGGAGGGAGAAACTTTGCATTTGAGTATTTTAGAATGGCAGCAGTGCAGTTCACAAAAATCACCACAAGAAGGTGCTGTTATAGCGAATATTTTAAATTCAGCAGATTCAAGATTTGCAAAAGTGTAGTTCAGAGAAATCTCCACAGGAGGGCGCAATATTTGATACATATGTAATATTTGTCTATTTGTCTATTGTTAGATCAGATATTCAGCGTGTGTAATAATGTGTTGATTTGTGTGTCGACTCTACAGGATCAGTGAAGTGTTGTGGACTGTAAGTCTGTTGAACAGAAGCAGAGACGAGTGGACAGACACTGACTGTACTGATGATGATCATCTGCTGCTGCACAGGTGATGTAGATCATGTGTGTGATTGGTTGTGTGTATGTGTCTGATCCACATGTCGGTTACCATCATTTGCTTTGTGGAGGGTCACTCCTCTACAAAGTAAATGATGGTAACCGAAGCGGGTGGGGAAGGGACGAAGGTCCAGAATTTTTATACAGTTCATTTTAAATTTTTTGCCAGGCTGTAAAGTATAACCCCTGCTGGACACGGCTCCGGAAGCTCCAGGGGGAGACCGAACTGGTATCCCCCCTTCTTCAGGCGCGCCTCACACTCACTCACCATTCACTCATATCGCAGAGTTCTGGCTGGCCTTGAACCAGCAACCCCTGAAGCCGTGGGGCAGCGCTCTTACCACAGAGCCACAGATCTCCATGTCTGAGCACTTGCTGGAACTGATGTTGGACTGCTGACCTGTGTGTGAGCTGATTCAATAAAACAAGATATATGTCAGATCTGAACTCTTGTCTTTATGAGTCTCTTCCTCAGAGAACTTGTGTTTATTCACTCATCAACCATCATTAGTTTCACATCAGCGTCCATCATCTTGGTGAACATAATGAACTCAGTGGGACATTAGCCATGGTGAGGTTTGAACCCGGGTCTCCTAGATTAAAGCTTATTACTTTAAGACCTGAGCCACTGAGTCTGGACAGTGAAGGAGAGGTCAGATTGGGGCTTTATCACTATTCTCATCACGACCAGGGTTTGACACATGTTTCTTTGTAATTTGGGCCACGAAAAACCTTCTGCCAAATGTGAAACTCTGTGGCTCAAAGGATGAGCGTTCGCCTGCTATTTAGAAGTGTGAAGGATCGAATCTCATTTCTGCCAGATCGAGATACAAGTCAGAATTGAACTCTTGTCTTTATGAGTCTCTTCCTCAGAGAGCTTGTGTTTATTCACCCGTTATGGGTTTCGTTCCATCATCAGGGGCTCCTGGTCAGTATAATGAGGACAAGATGGACATTAGCCATAGTGAGGTTTGAACCCGGGTCTCCTTGATTAAAGATCAATAGTTTATGACTTGAGCCACTGAGTCTAGATGGTGAGCAATGTTTCTGAATGAGGCTTTATCACTGATTTCACCGTGACCAAGGTTTGACAAATTTCTTTGTAATTTGACTCACAAAACAACCATTGTGAAATGTCAAGCGCCATGGCTCAGTGGATGTGCATTAGACTGCCATACAGGAGACATGGGTTCTAACCCAACTATTGCTTACTTTACTGTCACTTGCTGGGATTCAGTCAGACAAAGAGGCCCAAGGAGCATGAAAGCCATGATGGGCTAGTGGATGAACATATGGTTGCGGTGGACATGGTTATGGCAGAGGCCTGGGTACGAAACCCACCTCGATGTGTGGCTCACACCAACGAAAGTACAAATAGCAAGGAAATTACGAGGCGGGGGAACACAAACATAACAATACTTTGTTGTTTTTCTGATTATCTCAGCAGTAAAAAGCAGCTGCAGTTCTTGGATTTGAACCCAGGTGTGCTGTGACAGCTTCATATGTCATGATGTGTGCTCTGACCACTACACCATCACCACACACATAAACCCACATTTCTTTCTCCAATGGGACGATAACCACATTCTACACATTTTGAAAAAAAATTTAAATAAACACAAATAATTAATATCAAATGTAAATTATTTTAAATAAATGTAAACTGCATCATATGCAAATATATATTATTATATTTCACTATTCAAAATGTGGAAAACATGCTTATTCTTCAATCAGACACATAAACATGTTTCAAATTATCTTACAGCTGCTTGTGGGGCTTTAAATGTCACTAAACACAATTAAACACTGGAAAATATCATCATTTACTTCTAAAGTCTCCTCATACTGTACTGATGACTCTACACCAAATCTGGCCAATCACATGCTCTCCACAGAAAGTCCCTCCCCCAACAAACACGCGACAGAGCAGCAGCACAACAAACACACTTTCTGGACTCTCTACTGGAAATATGAGCTCATAAATACCTTTCCTGGAGCTGTGAATCCGCCTGGATGTGGAGGAGCGTGTGGAGGAGCGTCAGCTGTTGAGCGCAGCTCAAATATCTGCAGCAGAAACACAACAGACACACGTGTGTATCTTCACTGCTGCAGAGGAGAGAGAGAGAGAGAGCAATGACTGAACACAAACACTACAACAACATCACTACAAACTAAACCAACGAAGCAAAGTCCCTTACAGGTGAGTCGCGTTACTCTCCATTTCTGCACTTGGTGTGGCTTTTCTTCGCTGTCGGGCTGTAATATCTGCTGTTGACTGACATTATGAGTCTGTCACTGAGCTGTCATCTGCTACTGGAGCTCAACTTGACGCCAGTAAAACGGTGTACCTGTGCTGATCTGGTGTTGCTGTTGTCAAAGGTGTTCAGGCTAAAAGAGCAGCTCGCTGATTCCGCCTAGTGGAGCGAATGGGATCTGCGCTTTAAAGCGCACCCCTAACCCCACCCCTCACAATGACGTAACTAGCTCCATTGAGTGCAGCGTCTGACATTGTAAGTCTAATATATGCAGTCTCAGTTTGCAAATCCAAGTCTGCATGCAGATACTATTGGAGAAAGACTGACCAAATATGCCTCTTGCAGAATTCACAAGATTTTTTACATCCACTCATTGCGTTTTCATTCAGCAACAGAAATACTCATAATTTAAAACTTATTGAACGGCTTAATACAATTTAGGATTAAAAATAAAGCAGCCAGTCATCTTTATATCTTTATAAGGCATTTAGTGAAGGAAATGTGTTCGTATTTTTGTTGGTAAAATTATCATTTGTGTCTGCGTCAATTAAATCTGTAAGCAATGAAAACATTCTGCATCCCCAATATAAGAGCTCATCAAACAAGTTCTATGTGTCTTTATTGATGAGTGGCGCATTAATTACCTACAGGCTAAATGATCATCTGGAGTGAAGAACATCATGGTGAGAAAGTCACAAGCTTGGAGGTTCAATATTCATGTTTAGCATTTAATTGATCAATATTTGATGTCAAGTCTGTCATCATCAGCTTCTGGAAATTGTTTCATATTACATTCGTATTGGTTTGATATTTCCACATTGTTCATCAAGCATTTGTGCTGAAGTTCAATATAAAGTGAGCACAAATAATGACCCATGAATGATTAGATGATTGAGTATATGCTTTAATAATTATTTTGACATTGTTAGGAGGGAAATGAACAGTTGAGACCAAAACGACTGCTGTGTCAGATCAAGAGAAGACTCTGAGCCGCAGATTCAATGAAATTAAAATAATTTACTGGAGATAGTTTGTGGTTCTGCGGCAGGAGAGCTTCACACTGGCATTGAGTTCGCTGGCCAATCTCCCTGCCTTACACTAAAACAGAAAATCTCGCCTACATACAAAGAAAATTACGTAACAGAGAATTTACACATAAAATAGAAAAACTCAGGAATCAGTTGTTTTAATCCACCAGGAATCCAGTTCCCCTCGAGAGCTCTCCATGACCTCTGACCTGGCTTGGTAGATGGGCCATTCTTCAACTACGGGCACTTTTAGCCTTGTGAAGTTGAGTAAAAAAAACTTGTTCAAAATTAACGTAACATAGCCTCATAAGTTTAAACACTTTGTCTAGTTTTAAGATCTGTAAGAGGACAAACTTAGATAAGAAGAGAAACATTTTCTCCATCGTGAACTGAACAAATGTCAATTCCAGCACATCTCAATATACAGCTTATATTTCTAAATGACATAAATGATGGCAGTCAAACATTGTCTAAGATCATTTTTGTTTCTAGTTTAACCAAATATTTCCACAATATCGATAATAATTATACATTTGTCAGTGAAATAAATTAGTTGTGTGCTGAATTGTACACCTGTCACACTCTAAAACTTAATATTAATTTGGTTAAGAGCTTATTAGAAAATAAATAAACTGAATTTGTATATTAAATAGAGCATGAACTCATACATTGTGACTACACTTTAATGTGTGATGAGAACTTTTTAAATGTTTTTAATAATGTGTGTGGTGATGGAAATGACATTTCAACAGTTTATTGTGAAAATAATGAAAAATAGCTTCACCGATTAACTTTGAATTGATACAAGCCTTTCATATATACAAAACACTCTTATTTACCCTCATTTTGTTTTGGTTTTACATTTTTTTAAGTAGGTTTTATTGTTAGTTTGACATAGAAAGAAGAATTTGAACAAAATTATATATATGTTTGGATATTTGATCAAAGGACATAAAAGTGCTCGTAGTTGAAGAATTACCCAGATCCTGAAAATAGAGATTTGACAGACTCAGACGCTTCAGCTGAACACATCACTACATTAGGTCATGTTTAACTTCAGTCACTGATCAAAATCATGTCAAAGATTAAAAACTGATTCAAATAATCATAATAATAAAGTCAACAAGAACAGATTTTGATCTTTCCTGAAACAGATGAAGACAGAAAACGACTCGCTTCAACAGGAAGCAGAACTGTGCTCACGATGACCTCAGTTTAACTCAAGCCTCGCTGTCATTTGAAGATCCCCATAAAAACTGTGTGATATTTAGCATTTGATGATAAGTCTGTATTTAATAATAATTACTTTTTAGTTTAGACCTCAAGACTTTCTGCTTCCTTTTACACAATAAAATGTTTCTGGTTGTCAGCATCAGCGGAGGAAAATACACAGAACTACAGCTGCGCCACAGGAAGGTGAAATCTCAGTGCTTTACATTTGCTGTGCTGAAGTTCAGGAAAAACATCAGCACAATCTTTCAAATCAACTGAACTGCAAAGGTGTAATTCAGAAATATCTCCACAGGAGGGCGACATGTTTAAATTCATACTATTAGATTTGCAGTGGTGTCATTCACCAAAATCACCACACGAGGGCGAACATTTTAAATTCATCAAGTTCGCAGTGGTGTAATTCAGAAATATCTCCACAGGAGGGAGAAACCTTTATTATTTTAAAGCGGCAGCAGTGCAGTCCACAAAAATCCCCACAAGAGGGCGAATATTTTAAATTCAGTAGATTCAAGATTTGCAAAAGTGTAGTTCAGAGAAATCTCCACAGGAGGGCGCAATATTTGATACATATGTAATATTTGTCTATTTGTCTATTGTTAGATCAGATATTCAGCGTGTGTAATAATGTGTTTGTTTGTGTGTCGACTCTACAGGATCAGTGAAGTGTTGTGGACTGTAAGCCTGTTAAACAGAAGTAGAGACGAGTGGACAGACACTGACTGTACTGATGATGATCATCTGCTGCTGCACAGGTGATGTAGATCATGTGTGATTGGTTGTGTGTGTATGTGGCTATTCCACATGTCGGTTACCATCATTTGCTTTGTGGAGGGTCACTCCTCTACAAAGTAAATGATGGTAACCGAAACGGGTGGGGAAGGGATGCAGGTCCAGAATTTTTATACAGTTCATTTTAAATTTTTTGCCAGGCTGTAAAGTATAACCCCTGCTGGACACGGCTCCGGAAGCTCCAGGGGGAGACCGAACTGGTATCCCCCCTTCTTCAGGCGCACCTCACACTCACTCACCATTCACTCATATCGCAGAGTTCTGGCTGGCCTTGAACCAGCAACCCCTGAAGCCGTGGGGCAGCGCTCTTACCACAGAGCCACAGATCTCCATGTCTGAACACTTGCTGGAACTGATGTTGGACTGCTGACCTGTGTGTGAGCTGATTCAATAAAACAAGATATATGTCAGATCTGAACCCTTGTCTTTATGAGTCTCTTCCTCAGAGAACTTATTCACTCATCAACCATCATTAGTTTCACATCAGCGTCCATCATCTTGGTGAACATAATGAATTGTGTGGGACATTAGCCATGGTGAGGTTTGAACCCGGGTCTCCTAGATTAAAGCTCAATACTTTAAGACCTGAGCCACTGAATCTGGACAGTGAAGGAGATGTCAGATTGGGGCTTTATCACTATTCTCATTATGACCAGGGTTTGACACATGTTTCTTTGTAATTTGGGCCACGAAAAACCTGTTGCCAAATGTCAAACTCTGTGGGTCAAAGGATGAGTGTTCGCCTGTTATTTAGAAGTGTGAAGGATCGAATCTCATTTCTGCCAGATCGAGATACAAGTCAGATTTGAACTCTTGTCTTTATGAGTCTCTTCCTCAGAGAACTTGTGTTTATTTACTCATCATGGGTTTCATTCCATCATCAGGGGCTCCTGGTCAGTATAATGAGGTCAAGATGGACATTAGCCATAGTGAGGTTTGAACCCGGGTCTCCTTGATTAAAGATCAATAGTTTATGACTTGAGCCACTGAGTCTAGATGGTGAACAATGTGTCTGAATGAGGCTTTATCACTGTTTTCATCATAAACAAGGTTTGACATATGTTTCTTTGTAATTTGGCTCACAAAACAACTACTGCCTGATGTCAAGCCCTGTGGTTCAGTGGATGAGCCTCTGCCTGACACACAGGAGACATGGGTTCAAATCCCACTGTTGCTTACTTTACTTTCGGTTGATGGGATTCAATCAGACAGTGTGGCCCAAACAGCAGCTGACAGACTGAAAGCCATGATGGGCTAGTGGATGAACACAAGATTGCGGTGGACAAGGTAACGACAGAGGCCTGGGTACGAAACCCACCTCGATGTCTGGCTCACACCAACGCAAGGTAATTAGAGCCGGAACACACATAAAATTACTATGTTGTTTTTCTGATTATCTCAGCAGTAAAAAGTAGCGACAGTGCTTGGATTTGAACCCAGGTATGCTGTGACAGCTTCAGATGTTATGCTGTGTGCTCTGACCACTACACCATCACCACACACATAAACCCACATTTCTTTCTCCAATGGGAGGATAACCACATTCTACACATTTTGAAAAAAAAAATTAAATAAACACAAATAATTAATATCAAATGTAAATTATTTTTAATAAATGTAAACTGCATCATATGTGAATATATTATTATATTTCACTATTCAAAATGTGGAAAACATGCTTATTTTTCAATCAGACACATGAACATGTTTCAAATTATCTTACAGCTGCTTGTGGGGCTTTAAATGTCACTAAACATAATTAAACACTGGAAAATATCATCATTTACTTCTAAAGTCTCCTCATACTGTACTGATGACTCTACACCAAATCTGGCCAATCACATGCTCTCCACAGAAAGTCCCTCCCCCAACAAACACGCGACAGAGCAGCAGCACAACAAACACACTTTCTGGACTCTCTACTGGAAATATGAGCTCATAAATACCTTTCCTGGAGCTGTGAATCCGCCTGGATGTGGAGGAGCGTGTGGAGGAGCGTCAGCTGTTGAGCGCAGCTCAAAGATCTGCAGCAGAAACACAACAGACACACGTGTGTATCTTCACTGCTGCAGAGGAGAGAGAGAGGGAGCAATGACTGAACACAAACACTACAACAACATCACTACAAACTAAACCAACGAAGCAAAGTCCCTTACAGGTGAGTCGCGTTACTCTCTATTTCTGCACTTGGTGTGGCTTTTCTTCGCTGTCGGGCTGTAATATCTGCTGTTGACTGACATTATGAGTCTGTCACTGAGCTGTCATCTGCTGGAGCTCAACTTGATGCCAGTAAAACGTTGTACCTGTGCTGATCTGATTGACAGATTGACAGTGTAGAAATATCAAATAATTATCATTAAAATATGAAACAATTTTCAAAAAACTATTGATTTCAGGCTCAACATAAAAAATATTGTTGAATAAAATGTAAAACATAAACAAACTGATCAGTGAATGTCCGCTTGAACTGAGAAAATGACTTTAAACAAAGAGCAGCTGAAGCTGTATTGATTTGTTTTACTGTCTTTACTGCAGATGAAGTTGGTATGTGCTTGTCAAATAAACATTTCAGACGTTTCTATGTATGCTGCACAATTTTTAAGTCAAATTTAAGAATTTGAGTCCTGAAGAATAAATAAATCAGTGGAGATGTCCAATAGCAGAGATTCACTGTGTTTGTTTACAGTCTACTGTGGACATCAGCTGATTCACAAACACATTCATATTATCCACATTCAGTGCACTGCTCAGTCCTCTGCCATTTTGATCTATATAAGAGTATTTTGTAGTCTGCTGAGTATAAGTGTGTACATACTACAAAATGCACATTTAAAAATAGTCAATCACTCGGCTATTACTGTAATCTTTCTGAAGTGAAAGAACTGCAAAACACTTTATTAAACACCAACAGTTGAAGCAGAGGTTGATATTAATTCTGCCTGTTTTATATCAGAGCTTCAAAATACAACAGAATAAATCTCTGCCGGTCTCTTTTGTTAAGTTTAATTATAATGTAGCCTAAATTTATCCATAACACAATAATGCAGGCCGCAAGTCAGATCACAGCTTACTCAAATTCATAAATATGGTTGATATGAACCTTCTGACTCTAGTCATATTTTATAGGAAATGAATGAGCATATTAAACTGTTTCTGGAGGTTTACCTAAACAAATCACAAACCTACTAAATATCAGAGAACAATTGAGCTTATTGAATCAATGCAGAATATGCAGCACCTCAGAATCATTCGATTTGCAAAGGTGTAATTCAGAAATATCTTTACACAAGCGTGAAACGTTTAACTTCATTATTTTATAACAGCAGCAGTGCAGTTCACAAACATCAGCACAAGAGTAATATATATCATAATATTTTAAACTCATAAGATTTGTTATGGTGTAATTCTGAGAAATCTCTAAATGAGGGCAATAAAATGTTGGTTGTCAGCAATAGAGGAGGAAAATACACATAACGACAGCTGCGCCACAGGAAGGTGAAATCTCAGTGCTTTACATTTGCTGTGCTGAAGTTCAGGAAAAACATCAGCACAATCTTTCAAATCAACTGAACTGCAAAGGTGTAATTCAGAAATATCTCCACAGGAGGGCGACATGTTTAAATTCATACTATTAGATTTGCAGTGGTGTCATTCACCAAAATCACCACACGAGGGCGAACATTTATAATTCATCAAGTTCGCAGTGGTGTAATTCAGAAATATCTCCACAGGAGGGAGAAACATTCATTATTTTAGAGCGGCAGCAGTGCAGTCCACAAAAATCCCCACAAGAGGGCGAATATTTTAAATTCAGTAGATTCAAGATTTGCAAAAGTGTAGTTCAGAGAAATCTCCACAGGAGGGCGCAATATTTGATACATATATAATATTTGTCTATTTGTCTATTGTTAGATCAGATATTCAGCGTGTGTAATAATGTGTTTATTTGTGTGTCGACTCTACAGGATCAGTGAAGTGTTGTGGACTGTAAGTCTGTTGAACAGAAGCAGAGACGAGTGGACAGACACTGACTGTACTGATGACGATCATCTGCTGCTGCACAGGTGATGTAGATCATGTGTGTGTGTTTGTCTTGCACATGTCGGTTACCATCATTTGCTTTGTGGAGGGTCACTCCTCTACAAAGTAAATGATGGTAACCGAAGCGGGTGGGGAAGGTCCAGAATTTTTATACAGTTCATTTTAAATTTTTTGCCAGGCTGTAAAGTATAACCCCTGCTGGACACGGCTCCGGAAGCTCCAGGGGGAGACCGAACTGGTATCCCCCCTTCTTCAGGCGCGCCTCACACTCACTCACCATTCACTCATATCGCAGAGTTCTGGCTGGCCTTGAACCAGCAACCCCTGAAGCCGTGGGGCAGCGCTCTTACCACAGAGCCACAGATCTCCATGTCTGAACACTTGCTGGAACTGATGTTGGACTGCTGACCTGTGTGTGAGCTGATTCAATAAAACAAGATATATGTCAGATCTGAACCCTTGTCTTTATGAGTCTCTTCCTCAGAGAACTTGTGTTTATTCACTCATCAACCATCATTAGTTTCACATCAGCGTCCATCATCTTGGTGAACATAATGAATTGTGTGGGACATTAGCCATGGTGAGGTTTGAACCCGGGTCTCCTAGATTAAAGCTCAATACTTTAAGACCTGAGCCACTGAGTCTGGACAGTGAAGGAGAGGTCAGATTGGGGCTTTATCACTATTCTCATGATGACCAGGGTTTGACACATGTTTCTTTGTAATTTGGGCCACGAAAAACCTGCTGCCAAATGTCAAACTCTGTGGCTCAAAGGATGAGTGTTCGCCTGCTATTTAGAAGTGTGAAGGATCGAATCTTATTTCTGCCAGATCGAGATACAAGTCAGATTTGAACTCTTGTCTTTATGAGTCTCTTCCTCAGAGAACTTGTGTTTATTCACTCATCATGGGTTTCGTTCCATCATCAGGGGCTCCTGGTCAGTATAATGAGGTCAAGATGGACATTAGCCATAGTGAGGTTTGAACCCGGGTCTCCTTGATTAAAGATCAATAGTTTATGACTTGAGCCACTGAGTCTAGATGGTGATCAATGTGTCTGAATGAGGCTTTATCACTGTTTTCATCATAAACAAGGTTTGACATATGTTTCTTTGTAATTTGGCTCACAAAACAACTAC